CAGGAGTGGCACCTGAAAGTGAAAGTTGGTCAGAAGCATGGACCTGAAAATGTGAACCATTTGTTTAACATGTACTGACACCATTCACATAATGATACCCTAATACTTACCACCTTCAAAAGTAAGATTTTTTTTCATTATTATAGAAACAAAACATGTATGTGGTTAAAGATATACTTTTATTTATATATAAAATTTCAACTACAGCCCTGGCTGGTTTGGCTCAGTGGTTAGAGAGTCGGCCCAAGGACTGAAGGGTCACGGGTTCGATTCCAGTCAAAGGCACAAACCTCCGTTGCAGGCATGTGCCGGAGGCAACCAATCAATGTGTCTCTCACGTCAGTGTTTCTCTCTCTGTCTCTGCCCCTCCCTTCCACCCTCTCTAAAAAAAAATCAGTGGAAAAAATATCCTCAGGTGAGAATTAATAACAACAACAAAAAATTCAAATACAGGTGAGCACACCGTGCAAATCAAGTCCTCCTACTGGGCCCCAGTTTCTTGCCTACCTACTTAGGACTTTTATGTGTAATTTATATTTTATATATATAATTGGCATATATACACATATAAAATTTTTAACATGAATGGAGTATGCTATAAATAGTTTTGTACCTTCCTTTATTCGCTGCACAATCTTTTAGAAATCTTGATATCTAAGCGTATATAATTCAATGTTATTTGTTTTAAAAAATGGTTTATTTTATAACTGTTTTAGATACACAGAAAAATTATGAAGCTAGCAGAGAACTCCCGTATGCCCCACGCCCAGTTTCCCCTGTTATTATATCACATCTGACAGGCAGGGGGGGAAGGAGGAAGGAAGAATAACAAATTTAGTTTCAGGGAGTGGGAGAGTGTTTTGTCTTGTCTTGTCTTGTCTTGTCACTCCCCTTCAAAGTCCCCAGCATCACAGGACCCCAGGTGGAAGCCCTGCTTATGGGAGAGTCTTTAATGATATTCATTGGTTCCAGCCCAGTCAGTCTCTAATCAACTTCCCAATATCAAAACCCTGCTCTCCTAGAGCAAGCCTCAAATGCCACCATCAGTCAGCATAACCTACCTTGACGACATATACGCCAAGCTTAGAGCCAACCCATCCAAAACAGGAGCACATCCCTCCCATCTGTCCCTGGAGGGCCCTGTCTCCTCCCTCGTGGCACGGTCCCCAGGGTGCCGGGAACCCTCCGGGCCCACGTGGGCCTGCTGCACTCAGGGTGTCGCCCACCACAGAGCTGATGGATTCAGCGTCACTAAGGTGTCGGTAACTGGTAGTGGCCACTGTGTTCAGCACGAAATGTGTACATTTTGAAGGCGGAAAAAAACCAACCCTCATCCTAAAGATACAAATCTCTAAAGGCAGAATTCAGCCATCGTGATGCAGGAGAGGAGATACATACACACGAAAGGAGATGCACACACCCTCCCATTTACACTGAGTGAGCCCTGGGTGGGGGAAGGAACCCCTGCCTTGGAGGGGCCAGGGTGTCAGGCCCCCAGAAACAGGCTGCGCAGCGGGAGGAAACTGCTTATTAACACACCGCAGAGGGTGGGCCCAGCGCGGCTGGAGGAGTGGGCTTCAGTAAGGCAGGAAAACCAAACTGCTCCTTCTGGACATCAGAATATACAAAGAACGAAAATGCCTCACTCCACAAAAGACACCGTCTGAGACGCGTTCCCTGTCACAGCCACCTGCCTTTTCATTAGGATTCTGGGTTCTGTCTCATTAAACAGAAGGGTTGATTCAGTTGGGTCCGTCTAATTATTCTTATTAAAATATGTAACCATAATATTTTAATTGTAAATTAAAGTTGCATGCATGAATGAGTCTGAATTCATTTTAATTTTACAATGGCCCAATGCCAAGGCCATTTTTATGGGGAAGATCCATCAGCTCGGATACTGCTCTCCTGGGAATTCAAACCCATGTGCAAATGGAACATGTTTAACTAACAAGGGAGACTCGCACTCCCTGTTCTCCTCTCTCTAGATTTATTACAGTAATAAAGCTATTTTAACAAGAGAGATTGCATTTGGTTCCCCACCCCCCAAATCTTTAAAAAAAAAAAAATTACCAAACTTCTAGGCTGGCACTACCAGTTAGGTAGAACAGAGATGTCACTCTGGGCTGTTTGAATCTTGAACAAGGATGGTAAATAGCTCTCAATTCATGTGCCAACCTCATGATTAATTAGTACCGTCTGCTGTGGGTGCCGGGAGTTTACACACACACTGCCCCTTGGTCTAGATTCTAGAACAATCAGTGGGATTATATTGCATTCAGCCCTTCCATATGCAGTTAGGTAGGACCTGAATAATTTTCCACCAAACAACCACCAGCCACGAGGATATTTAAAGACTCAGCCAAAACCTCCTCCACTTCTAACTGGCAATGAGGACAGGGAGCTGTTGAGGTAGGCGGTGAGATAAAAATACCTTTTATAATTGAGGCTTTAGAGACACCTCTTTGTGATTTCTAAGCTTAGTCAGACAACCTGGTGTGAAGTCTGGGGGAAGAAAGATTGTTCCAGGCGGTGGGGAAAACATCTATGAAAGCCCAGGGCCCAGAGTGCAGAGCAGTCAACACTAAATAAGCTCTGAAATGAGGAGTGAGAAGTGCGCTGGGGTCGGGGGAGGGGCAGGAGATGAGCCTGGAGAAGGAAACAGGGTCAGATCATAAGAGGTCTTAGAAACCTCATTTGGGAGTTTTGACTTTGTTCTAAGAGCAACGCATTAGAAGCCAGGTAATTCGGCCACATGTAGAAAATGGGTTGGTAAGTGATGAGCTTATATTACTCTATGCCCAGAATCTAGCCCTGTGGGGCCGTTTCATGCTGAGGGGCTAAAGTAAATTTCTGAATATTACACCTCTTTTCCTCTACAGTATTTTTTCCTTTTCGGCTGAAGGGCTCTCCAGTTTAAAATTCCTTAATGTGATAATACTATTACATAATTATTTCTAATAAAGGAATTTTGTGAGGTCAGTAAAATGCTTTCTTTATGTAATTGGTTAAAATTTGTGTCTCATTTCTATTCACTGAAATCAGTTCATAATAAAAGTCAAGCGATTAAACCAACCCAGAAAAAAAAAAAAAAAAGCTTCTAATTGGAGACAAGTCTTAGTGGCTTTCACTAGCAGTTTTCCCCCAGAGAAGAACCTCTAAAATGTGCCTCTGGAACAGTACTGGAGATGGGCACGACCCCACTCCCTTGGCACAGCCGGCCCAGGTCAGGCCCATGCAGGTGAGTAGGAGCATTCACCTGACCCGAAGGGAGGTCTGGCCTCTGCCCTGGGCTCCTGGGAGGTGCCCTCAGGGCCCCAGCAATGTCCCGCCTGAAAGGAATCTCTGTTTGCCTGGCCTTTGGCCACTGGACAGTCTGACAATGTGAATATGACGGGGGCTCNTCTGACAATGTAAATATGACGGGGGCTTAGGGTCACGCTGTATCAGGTGTGACGCCTAAAGGAACTGGAGACTAAAGGTGTGAACTTGACCCCAGGAGGAATGGAGACTGAAAGTCAACCACACAGTAAACACTGAGCCCCAATGACACCAAGGTTTGGTGAGCTCCCCTGTGCATATTGTCACACACAGACAGCAGGAAGATGACTCCTTAAGGAAAGGACAACCAGAAGCTCCACATTTGACCCCTCCCCAACTTTGCCCTATGTCTCTTCCTTGGACTGGTTCTGATTCGTACCCTTCCCTATAAAAAACCGTAACCGTGAGTGTAGCAGCTCTCAGTGAGTTCCGTGAGCTTTTCCTGTGAATTATCAAAGCTGAGGATGTTTGGGGAACCCTGGAACTTATCACTGGTGTCATAAATGAGGGCAGCTGTGTGGGGACTTGAAGTTTGGCCAACTTCACGGAGAATGTATGTCCTGAAGCCAGCAGCTTGGTCCCAGAACTAGTATAGAAAGACAGGGGAAAGGACACCTGACCTTGGAACTGTGTGGGGCTACCTTGGGGGGTGGGGTAAGTTGGGGGACTGACAGGAAAGGGACACAAGGTGCCTCCTGGGGTGCTAAAAGCATCTATACCTTGATCCAAGTGGTTGCGACCCAGATGTAAACATAAGGAAAAATCCACTGAGCCGTCGTACTCATAAGATCAGGGCATTTTAACCACTTTACTGTACATGCTATACCCAATTTTTAAAAGTTTAAAACAAAAAACACAGCCCTTGAAAATGAGGGAGCCAGGCCTGTAATTTAAGGATGAAGTAGGCTCGATTGCTGAGGAGAACCTGAACCCAAGGGCAGGGCTGGTGAGATTCAACGAAGGAGTTTGTGGAAGGATTCCCTGAACTGGCTTGCTTAGTGCTTTCGATTTGGACAAGGTGGTTGTGTGCCTATGTCTGTGTGTGTGTCTGTCTGTGTGTGTGCGCATGTACCCTAAAAAGGCCGGTGTGTGGCTGTTCAGTTGCATTAGACTCACCTAGTGACCATATGTGTGGCACAAGAGGGGACAGGGCAGGACAAGCTGGTCCTTCTGTGGGACAGCCACTCAGCAAAGGGTTGGTGTGGCCGTGGTCCTACCCTCCCATTAGACGGAAGCTCCAGAAGCTGGGATTGGAGGCCTGAGAGGTCAGGCTGGGTTGGGGACAGCCTTGCCCGCGTATGTGACACCAAGCCAAGAGTTCTAAGAGGCACCAGCAGGGCAAAACTGAAAGTAATGGCAGACAGTTGCCCTGGGCTGTTACCAGAGGTGGGGAAAGTCAGGGGTGAGGCCACTGAGTAGAAAAACAAGAACTCGGGCTGGGGGAAGCTGTTTCAAGCAGAGGGTAGGGGAAGAGTCTGGGAGAAGTCTGAGTCATGGGGAAAGATACTTTTATAATGGGGGGAGGGGGCTGAGCTGAGAAACCGCTCAGTCTCAAAGAATGAGAGCTGGGAGAGGGCACCTGTGCTTTGCTCATTCAGGAGCCCTCCCCCAGGAAGCCCGACCGCATCTTGACCTTGACTCTCCGCCACAGACTTGTGGTTAGTGAATGAAGAACTAACCTGCAGTGAGTCAAAGTGCACAGATCATTTACTTCTGGATTTCTGATGACATACCTCTTTCTGTTGTTCTGGAAGCATCTTCAGCATAGGACACGATCAATCTGAAAATAAGATACCAGCACTCGGTGACTTGGAACCTGGAGCAGATAAGCCTCTCCTGGCTGCCCACCCAAATCCCCGAGAGCCTGCCCGCCCTGCCCACCCTGCCCACCGTGGTCTCGGGAAGGGAAACCTCTGCTGTTCCCTCCCCCATGTCCACGCTAACTGGGATATCGGTCCACACTGGGGCTGGGGAGTTTGGGACTCGGCAAGTCTGAGACAGCTAGATGATGACAGGTCCTCAAACTGGAAGGCCAGACAGAGTGGGACTGGAGTGGCAGCCTTGAGACTCAGATGAAGCCTGAGATGTGGGGGAGCAGAGGGACCCTGAGGGCCAGCCAGGATGCCGGTTGGCAGTGGGATGGAGAAAAGGGAAAAGATGTCTAGAGAGATCCACCTCTGAGAACAGCCCTGACGGTTCTGCCAGCAACTCAGCCTTTCAAGGAACAGGTCGTTCCTGTGGCATTTAAGCCACTCCAGTGTCCAGATAACAGATGGTGTGGCCCCAAGAGGGACGAAGGTCGGGACCTTGACTCTGACCTTCCAGTTAGTGAGTCAGCCTATCAGTTGACTCCAGGCCCCGCAGGTCCTGGGGTGTCGACTGTCCTTTAAACCCTCATTTATTACAGAGGTCATCGGAGTTAACATCTGCTCCCTGCCCTCCCTCTCCCCAAATTTAATCCCTTGACTACATGCACGATCTATAGTCTTACAACCGAAAGGTAGTTATGGCTACCGGGTCACTATTTGCCTTTATTTTGATCACACTAAGTCTGTACCCATTTTCCAGATAACTATTATCATCCACAAGTATTTCCTGAGTCCTTAGGACTGTGGGGAATATGAGGAAGCCAGGACAGTCGCTCCGGCCTCCAGTGCCATTCACATGGTGTCAGGGGGGAGATAACCCACAGCACACAGAGGAAAGGAACTCCTCCGGAGGTGAGCGACGCACAGCATGAGCAGCAGGCGGGCTCCCGGGGGAAGGAAGTTCCTTTCACCTGGAGTGGGCAGGGAGAATGAGGAATTCCAATGTTCATGAGAATAAGAGGGAACACAGGTGTGACGGTGGCATGGACAGAGGATGGAAAAAACACAGCAGACAATCAAGAGATGGTGACCAGGCCAGATCAGCTGAGGGAATGGATTCTTGGAGGGTGGAGTGGGTTGAATTGTTGCCACCAAAAAGATATATCTGTGCCCTCTGGAACCTGTGAATGTGATCTTATTTGGAAAAGGGGGCTTTGCAGGTGGGTGGGCCCTAAATCCAATGCCAAGTTACCTCTTATAAAACACAGAAGAGGAGAGAACACCCCCCCACACACAGAGGAGATGGCATGTGAAGATGGAAGCAGCAACTGGAGTGATGCAGCCACAAGCCAAGGACACTTGGAGCCACCAGAAGCTGGGAGAGGGAAGAAGGATCCTCCCCTAGAGCTTACAGAGGGAGCACAGTCCTACCAATGCCTTGATTTCGGATTTCTCCAGAATTTGAGAAAATAAATTTCTGTTGTTCAAAGGCACCAAATCTGTGGTAGTTTCTTCTAGCAGCCACAGGCAACAACACAGAGAAGGTGTGGGGGATTAGATTAGAAAGACAGGCTGGGTCATAGCTGGGAAGAAGGGAATTCACTCATTCATTCATGCCTTCACCCAGTAAATATTTATAAAGCTCCTACTATGTGCATGTGCTGGAGTAGGAGTGGGATATACAGTGGAGTACAGAGCAGACTCAGGGCTTATGAGATGATTTCACAATTATAATGTGTAAATGATATGAAAGGAAGGGAAAGGTCACCCTATATGAGAATGGAGGGACTAAATGGGGGACAGGTGTTGGCTGGGAAGGCTTTACTGAGAAAGTGGCATTTAAGCTAGGCCTGAAGAATGGTGTAATTTTGCCAGGAATGCAAAAGGAGAAAGACACTCTAAGCGGAAGGACTGTCATGTGCAAAGGGGCAGAGGCTAGAGGGAGGAGTTGCTCGACTTCGGGTTATTGAAAGGATTCCTGTATCAGATGACAGTGAGACCTGGGGTTGCATCCATCTCAGGATCTGGCCGTGGTCCCTACACACACTACACTGCCCCACACAGCTGTACCTCTGCCCAGGTAGGTCCTCTATCCTCATGCCTCTCCCCCTTCCAGATCCCCTGCAAACTCCCACTCCTCTTCCACGGTTCTGCTCAGAAATCACTTCCCCTCCCTTGCCTGGCTCTTTGCCCCCATTACACAGCATGCTGTGCAGTCCCTGGTTAACGTTAACCTTGCTTGCGTCATAATATTTGTATATTCTGTCTCTCCAACTGGTTAAATTTCTCCAGCAGAGCCTATCTGTGTTTCCTTATGTATAAACTTCACAATGATCTGGTGAGGGAGATGTGAGTGTCCTCACTTTACACACTTAAGAAAACAGAAGCAGAGGGATTAAGCTGCCCCAAGCCACACTCGAGAGAGCTCAAGTCCAATTGCAAGTCAAGGAGATCTGCTTTCCAACCCTGTTCTCTCCACTGCCCAAGGCTGCCTCCGTGACCGTGACAGGAACCAACAGTTCAGAGTTGGGCCTAGTTCTCCCTGAAGGGCTTGGGCTTTTCCTACGCGGGCAGAAGACTCTGTAGTTCTACCAGGGGGTCGGCCACCCTGAGATGCTACAGACCACGGCAAACTGTGAAAAGGTTAAGCCAGCCCCAAACATTATGGAGGCCCACATTGCCAACCTTAAATATCTTACATTTGGACACTGGGATGGGGGATGGTTGGAGGGGGAAAGACTCATTTTTTACTCCACATACATACTATTGTTGGAATTTTTCCAGTTCACACAATTAATATTCTACTTTTTGAAGTATGAATTATTTAAAATAAATTAAGTACCACAATTCTATCAGATGAAATAGTGACTCTAACATAAATTACAAAAGATTTCTATTTCATGTAAAGTAAAAAGCAGATTCGAATGCAAGAAGAGACGCTACCTTTATGACACAACATAAAATGGTGTTTGGTACTGGACCTTGCCATGGCAACTACTCATGGGGAGAGGAAACTAAATGATAGCGCAATAGTGACGGATTGAGATAAAAGGTCAATTGTCTATAATTTGGCAAACCGAAGCTGCTAAACAGAAATCAACCCCTAACAAAATGATGTTGTCCTGGCAGTGTGTAAAATTTTCAATTGGTTTAGATTTCCAACTTGCCCAGCCCATGTGTCTGGGAGAACTCTTGCCTCACTGGAAGACTTTGAGGCCAGTGAGTATGGAAATATGCCTCCAGGTGACCTGCAAAAGGCTGCCCTTAGAGCATCTGTCTCCCACCAGCACGGGACAACCACGCACACCTGGACGGTCACCCGCTGCAACCCACTCTCCTTCCCACTTCCCTCCTCCAAGAATTACTAGATCTCACACCATTCTAAACAACGGGAATGATTTCTCAAACCTGTTGCTCAGGTTGGAGTTGGGTACCACACATGACAGGTGTGTGAGCTGTCCCGGCGCCAAGAAACACAGCAGCTACAGAAACTCGCCGGAGAGACTCGATGCGCGTCTTCGCACCCCGATACCCGCCTTGAGAGCGTGATTTGCCAAAACCAGAAACTTCGGGAGAAAACTGCCTCCATTTCCACCTTGGAATATTTCTTCTATAAAATACAAAACGTCTGTGAAACCAAGTTAAAATTCTATAGAGCAGGGGTCTGCAATTTTGTTCTATAAAGGGTTAGATGGCAAATATTTGAGGCTTGGCTGGTCATCCGGTGTCTGTCGAAATGACTGGAGTCTGCGGTTCAGTGAGAACACACCCACAGACGAGAGGTAACGGAATGAGCACAGCTGTGTTCCAGTAAAACTTTATCTACAAAAACAGGGGGACCCTGCCTGTGGCGCAATGAATAGCGTGCTTCAGTTCTGTACCTTAATAAGCCCTTTCTTAGATGAACAGGCAGAACCTCTGCAAGCCTGAACCCCATCTGCATACTATGGGTGGTCTCCTCTGAGAAGCAACCTACTGACCCAGAGTTTGTAGACTCTACGTGGGTGGGGCAAGAAAGGATTGCATACTTTTCCAATGGCGAAATAAGGAATAACAAGTATGGTTTATACCATTCTTTTACATGAAAATAAAGGAGGGGTGTTAAGTAGCATAATTTTGGGTTTTCCTACCATCCCGTGTCAAAGGCTGATTAACCCAACAAATTTGCTAATCGTGAAATGAGACTTGAGTAGCATCAAAGCCACAAGGACATCCTAAACAGAATGACATGGTTTTATCAAATATCTACACTTATCTACCCACTGTAACAATATATAATTTCATAAACCAAACAGATATGATTTTCTGTGTTTCCAACACAGAAGCCAAGAGAAATCTCCTGTGCTCCTAGAAGACAATCCAGGTGGATTCGTAACTAACCTCAGGGTGGGCAGGGCCTTTCTAAGAGGAAGAAGAGATAAATGTATTTTATAAGAAATAACTTTTGTATCTTTGCTGTGTCAGAATAGTGTATTTTTGTCTATTAAATTAGAATGCTTCTTTAATGATAATATCCACTGCCGGCAAGCACCAAAATATGGAAACTGGACAGAGTGGGGCAGCCATGCATTTCCAGGGGCCAGCAGCATGTGCAGAACCATTTATAATCCAGGCCCAGGTGTTTCTTCCTGCCTGATCTCAGAACTTTAAAAAGGCAAGCGAAAGCCCGGCCGAGCATGGCTCAGTGGTTGAGCATCAACCTGGGATCCAGGCGATCAGGGTTCGATTCCCAGTCAGGGCACATGCCCGGGTTGCGGGCTCAATCAATGACTCCCTCGTCATTGATGTTTCTATCTCTCTCTCCCTCTCCTTTCCTCTCTCTGAAATCAATAAAGATATATTTAAAAAAAAAAAAAAGGCAAGCGAAAAACGTAAAAACAAGCAGATATCTGAAATGTTAAATTTTGAGATAATAAAATCCTCACTTAAGTTTTTCTAGCACTTATCA